TGGCCGCTCTCAGTTCCCCCGAGGCGCCGGTGGCCGCTCGCAGTTCCCCCGAGGCGTCTGGTGTTCTCCCTCTCACCACCAGAGGTCACCACTTCCCATCTTCCCGGACTCCGTTACCTTGACTCCACACACCTGTGCACACACTCACTCACGCACAGCTGTTGCCCATCCTGAGGGCTATTTATACGCCTTCCCCACGCCTCTCTGGGCGGATTATTAATAATTGTTAATGATTGTTACTAGTTGTAGTAATAGTGCTATTAGGTGTTGTGATGGGACTGATGCAAGCTCTACGTGGCCATATTGCAACAGATTCCCTTTTCTGTTTCGAGCCTTTGGGGTCCGCTCGCAGCTCCCCCGAGGCGGCGGGGTCCGCTCGCAGCTCCCCCGAGGTGGCGGGGTCCACTCATAGTTCTCACGAAGCGGCGGAGCCCGCCATTTCCCGTTCCCAGGCGGCAGCCTCACACACACCACGGTGGTGGCCGCTGGTTCTGCCCTGGGTCCCCATACCACCAGCTCTGCCCCAGTCCCCAGGTCCCCCTCTATCACACGGACCACCAGACCCAGATCCCTGACAGGACCCCTCCTCTAAGAAACGGCTTCCAGACGTTCCCGAGCGCCCAACCAGGGGCTCGCCATTTCCCATCCTTCCGGACTCTTTTTCCTTCACTCCACTCACCTCGGCAGCCTCACACACACCGCGGTGGTGGCCGCTGGTTCTGCCCTGGGTCCCCATACCACCAGCTCTGCCCCAGTCCCCAGGTCCCCCTCTATCACACGGACCACCAGACCCAGATCCCTGACAGGACCCCTCCTCTAAGCAACGGCTTCCAGACGTTCCCGAGCACCCAACCAGGGGATCGCCATTTCCCATCCTTCCAGACTCTTTTTCCTTCACTCCACTCACCTGTTTCTCATTATGGATTGATTTGTCCCAGCTGTTTACCTGATTACCTCTTCCTCATAAGCTCCCTGTGTTTTCTGTTCTGGGCTTGTTTGTCTCACTTAGGTGTCGGTGCACACCTTTGATTTGTGTCTACCCTGTGCTCAGTTTATGTCTTGTGGTGAGCATTTGTGTACTCTGGCGTTTTCCCCCTCGGGGTGGTTTCATTTGTGTTTTTGTGTTATTTTGTGAATTCTAAATAAAGAACCCCATCTGCCTGCACTTGAGTCTTCGGACTCTTTTTCCTTCACTCCACTCACCTGTTTCTCATTATGGATTGATTTGTCCCAGCTGTTTACCTGATTACCTCTTCCTCATAAGCTCCCTGTGTTTTCTGTTCTGGGCTTGTTTGTCTCACTTAGGTGTCGGTGCACACCTTTGATTTGTGTCTACCCTGTGCTCAGTTTATGTCTCGTGGTGAGCATTTGTGTACTGTGGCGTTTTCCCCTTTGGGATGGTTTCATTTGTGTTATTTTGTGAATTCTAAATAAAGAACCCCATCTGCCTGCACTTGAGTCTTCGCCTCTTCCGTACCGTGACCGTAACCATCAACGCGCTGGTAATGTTTAATTAAATTGACAGTGCATGTTTTATACCGCAGTAAAGATAGTGCACTGCAGATTTATGGCCAAACGATATCTGCAAGCTATCATAGACATGCAAATAATTTCACATGTCACTCTTCATGATTTGTAAATTCATGTGACACTGTCCTCCGGTCTGAAATCAAGAATATATTCTCTGTGATGGATAGGTTTAGGGACAGGTTTCTGCAAGGGGTTTAGTGTTAGTGTTGTAAAGGGCCATAATACAGTGAGTTTTAACATTTTACAAAACATTCTTTAGTATCATTTATAAGATGTTGTATTTCAGAAATCTCCATATTTTTCACATACTATAACTATTATAAATTTGTATCTAACCTTATCTACCTCATAACTAATATATTGCATGGCGCTGCCATTAGCACAATCATTGTCCTGATTCAACTCATTTACTATCCTTATCCAGTCTTACGCAAAGCATGCTGGGAACTGGAAATCCACTGCCCAGTTTTCAAAGTTATCAATACTATTTCATTAAGTTACTATGTGATGATCACCATTATTATGTCAAAAGAAATCAACAATGTTTGTAAAAGGTTTAACTAAATCAATAAATTAGATTTCTAATTCGCAACCATGCATTTATATTAGTTGTGGTAATAGGCCTCCTAAATCACTTTTTAGAGTGCATATATCAAGTCCAAACTGCCTGATTGTTTATATTGTTGTCAGATGTAAATTATTCTATTGCCCAGCTTTAAACTGCTATACAGTATGTGGACAATTAGGCATTAAGATTTCATGAGACAATGTCAATGAATTTCTCTAAAGCTGCTTTGAAACCATGTGTATTGTGAAAAGCAATATAGAAATAAAATTGTCTTCCACTGGCACTTTCACAAAAAAAAAAAAACCTTTATTGGCATACATCTTATTACTTATTTAAAATGTAATAAAAAAGTAAGCCTATACTACATTTGCTTTTGTCAAGTCATCTTAAAAAATGCATTATACCAATTTTCCTCTTCTAATGAGCTTCAAAAAAAATTTTCACCATCACAAGACATTTTATGTTTTTATTAGCCCTTTAAACAGGCCAATGAAAAAGAAATCCTCTGATACCATGAGTAAACATATTCCACCTTTTTTTTCATCTTTGAAATAGCACTTGTGCATCTGTCAGCCAAATTATGTGGCATCAATAATGGTTCTCTTTTGAATGTTTGGACAGATTAATTTAATATCACCATTTATTTTATTGCATTTTGCTGCTTTGTATAAAATGCTACACTAAATGATGTTGACTAGCAGGCAGGTTGTTACTCAGCAGTTGTGAACTTGATGTATCAGCATGAGCAAATATCTAATGCTACTACAAGAATAATACTGGTCCACCGTGGACACACAAGCATAAGCATGTGCCTAGAACAGTGTTTCCCAATCGGGGTGCCGTCTGTCGAGAGCAGGGGTGCCCTGTAAAAAAATCATTTTTTAATATTTCTAAATTGCTAAAATGTTCAAAAAAGCATCTATTATATATATCCATTTCTGATATCGCCAATAATTAGAGATGCACCGAAATTTCGGCTGCCGAAAATTAGTTCACCGCTCAGGTTTCACTTTCAGTGGTGTGACGCTCTGCGTATTATCCCGCTCTATGCGTGTGAGCTCCGCTCAGTCGCTCCACTCGTATACTGCTCATGCTCATCGGAACAGCAAAGTCCACTCAAAAATTGAGCCGACAGGAAACATGGATGTAGTGCAGTATTGTTTCTGTCTGCAATAGCCCTACTGTGTAACATGGTGTGGTATATGGGCAACTCTGGTAACACTGCCCTCTCATTCATTGATCTGCTAACCGCTGCGTTATGCTCATGTGTTCTGATAATAATAGCTTTCTAGGACTAAACATTATTTGGATAATTGGTAAAAAATAAAAAAAAAAGGTTAAATATCTGAACCCTACTGTTAGACCTACCTGAAAAACTAAAAAGCAATTTATTTAATTCGAAGGCCTCTCGTTATTTTTTTATTTGTGCTATCATTATTAATTTCTTTATTTGTTCTTATTTTATTACTGACTGCTTGCTTAATTTTTATTCAATTCAAAGTTTGAAATCAAGCTATCTCGTGCTACTGCACCAAAATTACCCCACTGTAAAATAAAAAAAACACTGAGTGAGTAAAAATTTGTGCAATAGCTAGTTATAATGGTAATTAAATAATGTTTACATATGTATAAAAGCCTACATTAAAATCTGTCATATAAATTGGTCTCTTCATTAGAAATTAGTCTACAGATTGCCACCATTGATGGACAAATTTTTTTAATAATATTAAAAATATCTGTATGACATTATATTCTGCAGTTCTTCCCTGTTGTACCGAATATCTATAATATTCAGATTATCATATCGAAGTTAGAAATTCAAATATTGTGACAATTAATTGTGTAGGGTGCCACAAGTTTGTTAAAATTTCCAAAGGGTGCCGCGACTAAAAAAAGGTTGGGAAACACTGGTCTAGAATGCACATGCATACAGTATATCCAGCCCTAAGTGTCTTGATCAGAGCAGCTAGAACAGTTCACCATCATGCCACAAGAGGACTGTCTTGTTCTCAGATTTCTTGTCTGACCAGTGTTCTATTTTATTGTGTGTGTGTGTGTGTGTGTGTGTGTGTGTGTGTGTGTGAGTGTGTGTGTGTGTGAGCGTGTGTGTGTGTGTGTGTGTGTGTGTGGAGTGAGTGAGTGAGTGTGTGTGTGTGTGTGTGAGTGAGTGAGTGAGTATGTGTGTGTGAGTGTGTGAGTGAGTGAGTGAGTGTGTGTGTGTTTTATCACAGCATATAAATCTGCTTATCAAGTGTGCCTGGAATGTAAAATAAAATTTATTAATTAAATAAACAAACAAACAAATAAATACATACATATATAAATAAATAAAGTTGATAAAAGATATTCTCTCCCAGACAGTGTACATTTCAATCCAAAACCGTAAATTTGCTGGTTTTCAATAATAATTTTATTAAAAACGGCATTAAAATATTTGATCAGTTGACAAAAATACAAGCAATTTTTTATATATATATATACAAATACAAAAATTACATTATATGAATTTAAATTGACAAGAAAAAATAAACCATTCTGTTAGAACGGTTAGGAGTCATAAAACCACAAAACAGGAGCTTCTGGAATATTGCCATTCTTTTTTAAATGTACTTGTATTCTCTGTAAGGTGTTGTCAAAACGCTCATAATACTCCACTACTGGTCACCTGCCTTGAAAAATATCTTGTAAATTACAGTAACACTAGTCTGTTTTAGCATGCATTAACAATCCTAGCTTGAAATTAGCATGTACATGTCTCCTGAACAAATGCTACATTTTGGTTGACATCTTCTTGTGCAGAAAATTAGCTATAAACAAAGAAATTATTATTAATATATATATATATATATATATATATATAGTGTAATTTTTTTCTCTATTATTGTGTTCAGCATGCAACTATAAATAATCTTTAACTGAAACGACATATGCAAAAACTGTAAGCAAGTTTTTTCTCTATACCTCTATTGATGTGCACATCAGAAAATCTGCCCCTCCGTCTATCACATATTAATCCAAAATCACCGAAAACACATCCACTGCCATCTTTACCATTTCCACACTCTATTTTGTTTAAATTTCACAAAAATCAAATCTGGAAACATGCTGGCGTCCTCTGAGCTTTTCATCCAGAAAGTAAGGCTTCTAACTACAGTATGCTAAATTTGTAACACTGTATTTCTTACTGTGTGGTAATGCACTTACTCCTTGGATTTTTGGTGATATTCCACAATTTTCATCTGAAGGCCTGGTTCAGTTACGTGGTTGGGAGTTGAACTCATTGCAGATGTTGTGAATAATCTTTGGTACATACTTGTAGAGGTTGTCAAACTCATCCACAAAGAAAGAGTGGTCTCTGTCGGGGTCGGTGGCGATGTATTCCAGCTCGTCCTGTATGGCCCAGACTATACCAATGGAGTACGCGATCACACCTGGTGCATGAGATATGGGAGAGTACAATACTTCAAAAATGTAGGCAGCGCTGGTCTGAAAGTCAACTTCCATCACATCTGTAGACACTACAGACACCATAAATACATCCTCTAAAAGAGGTACTTTTATCATTGAATTTCTAGCTACGGTGTATTCTGCCGTTTAATGTGATTTATTCATGTTTCTGGATCTACATCCTGGAACAACATTCCTATAGAGCAGTCACTGACTGCTCCAGAAACGACCACAGGTGCTGACCTAGGGACCTACTGCGTTCCACCGCACTCACCTTTACGATGTACCGCCAGCGCCGGGGCCCTCACGTCATCGTAGGAGCGTCCGTCCGTGATGACAATCATGATCTTGCGCTTGTTGGGTTTGGATTTGCTGAAGAGTTGATCTGCAGCAAATGTGATGGCAGCTCCCGTGCTGGTACCTCCGCTCCAGTAGTTTATACGCTTGATAGCATTCAGCAGATCAGCTTTGTTGTTGTGTTGACCAAAAGCAAACTCAAGCCTCTGCTCATACGTGTACTGTATGATTCCTACACGCGTATCCGTGTCCGAGATCTCAAATTCCTGCGTCACGTTTGAGACGAACTGGAGCACGGTGCGGAAGTTTCCGGTTCCCACGCTGCTGGAGCCGTCGATGACGAAGGCAATGTCGTTGGCGTTAAGGCAGGTCTTACTGCACACCAGGCGGTCTGTGTCGCACACACGCTTCACCAGAGACTGCACTTCTTTGCGCAAGGCGAACCAGCTTGAGATAGAGAGCGAGAAGAAGCCATTGGTTCTGCACACTGCCTACAGACCAAAACAAGAAATAAAGTTCCCTCTGTGGCCCCAAATTGCCATGAAATTCCGGTATGTGTACACCCCACCTTAATCAATATTGATACCTTGTCAACAAAGTTGGTCTCCATCACGTTCTGTTTTTCATTCTCATCTGGGCCCTCGATGGTGACAAAGAAGATGTTGATGCCTGACTCTCTGGCCAGACGTGAGGCCTCCTCCACTTTGTCAGTGGGCCAGCCGTCCACCAGAACCACAGCCACATTGGGTGCCCCACCTCTGTTCCCATTAGCATCACTGAAGAAATGCTTGTTGATGTAGGAGATGGCCTTCCCTTAAAGGACCACAGAGCCAGAGTCAGAACAAAACAGCTACAGTTCCATCAGCCTTCCTCCCTGAAAACCCACTCTGCTGTTTCAATTGCAGCACTGTTTCGTGTCCAGTCTCTGCCCTGAAATGCTTTCCTTAAATGCTTCCAGGACTTCAGGAAAAGGCAAGAGTGCAGCACGCCACTGCTGAAAACTATCAATGCAGCAGTTACTAAAAATGCAAAGCGTCTCTTTATCTTTGTTTCCACCACTTTTAAATGTCCGTAGTTATTGAAATGCCACATGAAATGGACCCAAATGAGTACTGGGGAATGTAAGGCACACCTAAAACCTTTTGAATGTTGCTGCATTAAGGTTGCTAAAACTTACATGACTTTTGCCCAGATTTTTGCCACGTTTTACAGTCTGCACGAGTCAATGCTGGTTACAATGCTCTGCAGACTTTGGTCAGTCAAAGTTGACTGATTTCAGGTAAAATTATGTAGTATATGATGGATAAAGATTGTTTAGTGTATGAATTTTTCGTTTTTTTCCCCCTTTTACAAAAGCCAGCAAATGTATGATGTCTAGTGTTTTAAAAAAATCATGTAGTATCTTCCAGCTTTTGATCAAGTGTCTGTCTCTTTACTAACGTTCACTTTTCACTATCATTTATGCTTAATGTATTTTAATCAGCCAGTGTTTTGGTGATTTTTAGTGGATGTATCAAGTTAGATATTGCGCATGTCTTTAGTGCCCAAATAGTTTTTGGGGTCTCCAGCCCTCAGGGATTTCAGAGTCCAAACAAACAGGTTTGTGTAAATCATATACAGAAGATGAAGTGCTACGGTACTGATTTAACATCATCCAACCAGATAATGTTGTGTCCTCAGGCTATCTTTGACTTTATAGCTCTGCTAGAGAGGGCAGCTGCTTTTTTACAGGATTCCACTGTTATATTAAAGTGAGACACTATCTATAACACAAACCATACAACCAATGTGAAAAGTAATCTCTAGGTTGGATAAACCTCAGGCATTTGGTCAGCTTGCACAACAACACCACAGAGTGGCACCAGCCCTGTAATTTAGCCACAGTTGCCAGCTCAGATTTAGATCTAATTTGGAACTGAGATGTGCAAACAGGGTGAAATTCAGTGACACCATGTGACGACTTCTGCTCTTTGGCCTTTAGGGTATAGTCTAGGGTTATTCACTCACCTACATTGGACAGACCGCCCTTCTGGACTATTTTGCTGATGGCCGTCTTCAGATCCTTGGAGCTGGAGAACTGTTTTAGACTGAATTCTGTGACTGGATCATCCCTGGATCAGAAATAAAATGTTGACACGTTATATCAGGGTGATCTACGTGTACATGTATGTTTTGGTACGTTGGGTACATACTAAAATGCATAATATGAATGTAATTAAAAAGCATGGAGCTTAATTTAGAGATGTGCAAATGTGCCACTATAGATTACTGAGTTCATTGAATAATATATCTAAATTAAATCATGCTATAAGTTCCTTAAATTCAAAATTGTACGATCACCGAAGGATTCATACACATGTGATGTTCTTGTGTAAATGTGTTTTAATTTTAGACAATGTCAGTATAGTGATACTCTATGTTTCAGTGGATATCCAAATGAGTGAAAATGTATGTATGCCAAAAAACTAATTTTACATATGAATATCTACCAAAACTATAATGTTGGTTTTATGTGACAGTCCCTCACTTGTTCTTATTAGTATTTGAGTGTTTTCTGGCACTGGGACACACTATTACCCGTATTGAATGATGCCCATCATGGGTCCAGCAACACCCACATTAATGACCTGAGAAACTTCCACAAGGAAGTCTTTCTGAATCTTAAAACGGCGTTTCCCAATGCTCCAGCTGCCATCCATGAGGAGTGCAATATCAACATTACAGTCTACAAAGACAAGATGAGAATAAAATCCATTAGAGTCATGAAAGGAAGTGAATACTAGTCTCATAATCAGTGACAGTTTTGAAGGAGCATGAAGGAATGTTCAGTCGTGCCCTCGTGCGCTGAAACCTGAGAGATGAGAGGATGTTACAATTACATGTCAGGAAAATCCTGTACCTTATCTATAGTACATTAAAGAACTATTTGTATATGACCATATATTATCAAGCCCAAATTTAAAATACAATTATTAGCCTATATAACTGAAAAAAGTGCTTTAATGGGGGAAAGGCTATAAGACCCTGGTACTGGATTTTGCTGATTAGGTTACTTCACTTTTGATTGCAAACCATATAATAAACATGTAATAAAGCAGGATGATGATGTGTAAATTTTTCTTATTTTGATTAAAGATCTTTTTTTTTTCATTTAGTACTGCACTTCAGAAGCTACATAAATACATACATGTTTCCCAGAAAACAAAATAAGGACAATTTACCCTGATCATCCAATTCAGAAAGTTTACACCCTTCAGCTCTTAATGCATCGTGTTGCCTTCTTGAGCATCAGTAAATGTTGAATGAAATGTAAATGTTTTCCTCAGTTTGAAAAGATGGATCTCAAAATCATACAGTCATTGTTGGAAAGGGTTCAGATATACAGAAGATGCTGGAAAACCAAAGAATGTGCAGGAGCTGGAGGATTTTTCTGAAGAACAGCAGACAGTTGAACTATTCAGGACAAACAAGGGACTCATGAACAACTATCAGAAAACAAAAAACAGTCCAAGAAATGACACAATATTAAAGATTTAAGGGTATGTAAACTTTTGAACGGGGTCATTTTTATAAATTCAGTTATTATTTTGTCTTGTGGAGTATATATACGCATCTGTTATGTGAAATAGCTTATTCAAGACACTACTAAATAAAAAATAACATGCAATTTTCATGATACCAATTTTCATGGTAATAGTGTGTTGAGGTCATAACATAGTATTGTGCAAGGAACCACGTGAAAATAAGTCTTTATTAACACTTTACTGGCCATTGACAGAGTTTTCTGGCTTCCGTGTTTTTGCCGTTTTATGGTAGGAGGTGCTATTACATATTTTCTGAAAGAGTACTCAATCTCTAGGCGAAGAAGAAGCAGAAGAAAAGTGTTGGTGTTTTACTGCTAATAGTGTTCATTTCAACTGGAAAATGCAGTGAAGTGTATGTATAGGTATGTTTTGGAGTTTTGCAAAAATGTACATATGTTCAACTGAACCTATGCTGCAAAAAAATCTAGTTAGTTGTCTCACTTGACTCGAATGGGTTTGACCCAGCAAGCAACTCTGTGACAGTAATCACAAACTAAATAATATACATCACGCAATCATTAAAAAAAAAGAAACATCTTGCATTCAGTCATAGTTTCTGAAGCAGGGCTATATAGCAGTATTGTGCACTGTGACGAAACTGTGGACTTTCATATACAAATGTGCTTGTGCCTTTGACACACCTCTGGTGTGCCTCGTATCAGATGGAGGCTTGTGGTCTTCTGGCTCAGGAGCTGAAACAGAAATCATGTACTCACGAATCAGGCCTCCGTTTTCACAAAGACACAGTGACTCACAGAGATGTTGACCCCCTCCTCACTACAGTTACACAACCAGTAACATACTCACTGGAGGTGTGCCCACATTTCACGTCTATAAGGCCTGATGTTTTGAAAAATATACAGTAAAGGTGGGGGCCTGCCAAATGCTTAATTTTTTTTCTCATCAATCCAGGCATGATTTGTATTATAGCATGTACTAAATGAGTACATATACTCTTTTTGGTGCTTGCCCCATAAATGCATTATTCCAAAATTAAATGAAAATACTTACGATACTGTCCAGAGTTATTCAGCCAGTGCTCATACTCAGTGTTATCAAGCCTTGGGTCAAGAACTGCAGAATAGAGGCAGCATTTGCAGGAACAGTTAGATCAGCATAGTGCATTATACCCATAATGCCTGTGTGAATGCGTCAGCAAAAAAAAAAGAAAGAAAGAAAGGAAAAAAACCCCCCTGACCAATCAAAGGCTGTAAAGAAGAGTACAAAACCTGTAGCTTACCACCTATTCTCTGACATTGATGAAGAAGTTAGTCATAAAGCTCCAGCTACAGCAGAAACACATGGTGCTCTGAATGTTTTTGATATCATATGGGTTGCACATTGGCATGGACTTTGATACTAACTTGAAAGCTAGTGGGATGGCCTATTTAAACTGCATAAAGGAATAAGCGCAGTGTGAAAACGAGTAGCAGATATTGTAGGAACCTGTGTACATTGATTTGATGCTATGGTGATATCAAAAACAGATATGTGCTATGCATATTATGAAGCCATAATTCAGATTTATGGGTTTCTTTTTATTCTCCTCTGGCACTACCGTGGACATATAACAACAGTACATGAAACCCTTATCTGCGGGATCACCGGTACTCATTCTGCTCTATTTATAGCCTGTGTTTGGCACAGAGTGGCTACTATCTGAACACAGAAAGTGAGGGTAGGGTCTCAGGTCATATTTTTATTAGCATTAATTATTATGTGTTTACGGATATTCACTTGGAAAAGAATAATTAAAATTAAATCATTTTAAATAATATTTAGTCTACGTTTATGTCTTCTTTATTGCTCACTTATGAGGGGTTATGTTATTGAACTGGATGATGAGACCTGCATATTGATTATGATACCTGTTGGTCTTCTGGTGCCAGAGAACCCATCAGGTCGTGCGTATGCAGGGTGCGGCCAATCTCTTCTTGCAAATGCTAAATAGGGAGATTGAGAAACTATTTACAATACTTTACATCAAATGGACTTTTAGAACTGAGACTTTAGAACAAAGTAACGTATATATAGCAAGGAAATATTTTATATTAATCTATTAATCATGTTTAGGTTTATATTTTGGTGAATTCCATTGATTCTTCCATGTTCCCATGCTTTTTATGTGTCTGTCATTCAATATATCTGTCACGTGTATATTTAGTTCTGTTTCCTTTTTTCATAGTTTTCGCTCTATAGTTTTGTTTCCTTAGTTACCAATTGCTCCACACCTGTTTCAGTTCTTCCTGATTACCTTCCCCATGTATTTAAACCCTGAGTCTTCCTCAGTTCAAGGTCTGCTATTGTTTTGTACCTATGTGGTTGTTCTGTTCTCCCAGTGGATTTAATAAAATTACTTTCTTGGACTCCTTCGTCGTGTGCTTTATACTGGATAGCCCGTGACAGAATAGTCCCTTTTGGTTTTTGTTTTTTTCCTCTCCCCGTCGAAATGGATTTACCAGCCATCCAACTTCTCTGCCTGGAGCAGATGGACCGTTCACTGGCGGACTATACTACAAACGTTTTAGATCTGGCATGCCTTACTCACTTCCCTGACCACTCACGTTGCGATTTTTCATTACACCAGTTTGAACAAGCGGTGTAAGGCACGCCAGCCAGTGGACGGTCCCAAGGAGAATTTCCCCCACTCCTGATCCAGAGCCCAGCCAGCTGTCACCATCCTGCTGCACGGAGCGTTCGTCTGAGCCCACTGCAGATGGAGAGCCCGAACCCACCACGATCAACGAGCCTGCACCTATGTATACGACAGAGCGGATCATCGCCCAGGAGCCTGAGCCTCAATTACGCTGATTCTGCCCAGCTACTTTTCTCCTGTTCCCTCCCAGCCTCCCTCTCCCTCCTCCTCTCCTAAAACCAGCCAGTTCCTCAGCCCTGTCTCCGCTGGTTCCTGTCAGTCCCTCAGCTCACCCTCAGTCAGCGCTATCTGGGTGCTCTGATTCGCCTCAGGCCTTCCAGTCTCCAGCTCTGCCTAGGTGTGAGGATCCCTCCGGCTTCGCCTTGTCCCTCCATCCCTTTGTCTCCATCTGGCTCATCCTTCCCTCCAGCTCAGATTTGGCCTCTGTCGCTCCGGCTCCACCATGGTCTACCGGATCCCCGCCTCTGCCTCGGTCGACTGAGCTGTCTGCTCCGCCTTGGCCCTCCGGAACCTCGTTGTCACCCTGGCTCTGCGGCTCTCCATCTCCATCCTGGGCTCCTTTTCCATTGGCTCTATCTCCGTCAGTCGGCCCCCTGGTGTCGCCAGCCCTACCTCCACCATTGCTCCTCCCTCCGGCGACTCCACCGTGGGCCTCTGTCCTGGCTGCGTTCTGGATCTCCACATGGCTCCTCCTGGCTCCTCCCACCGTCTACTCTGCCCTGGCTCTATGGACTGTGTCCTTTCCCTTTTGCCTGCCCTTCGTCTGCCCCTCATCCTCCTTCTGAACCCCCACCCTCACTCCCTCCTCAGTAGGACTAGTCCACGGCGCGAGGACACACCTTCCAGGAGGGGGGAGTAATGTCACATTTATATTTAGTTCTGTTTCCTTTGTAAAGGTTTTCCCTCAACTAGTTTGTTTCCTTAGTTATCAATTGCTCCACACCTGTTTCAATTCTTCCTGACTACCTTCCCCATTAAACCCCGTGTCTTCCTCAGTTCAGGGTCTGATATTGTATTGTATCTATGTGGATGTTCTGTTCTCCCTGTGGATTTATTTAAATGACTTTCTTGGACTCTACTCCTTCGTCGTGGCGCTTTATACTGGCCAGCCTGTGACAATATCATTCACCCTCAGATTCAAACAGTGTGTTCTGTCAGGTCAACTCCAGTCAGACAGTTTTGATAAAATAATCACTTTATATATCACACAAGCATTAATGGGAGTAGCCATTTTATTTTTATTTTTTTTCTGATTTTGCTAGCTGCTAATTTCATGTAATTAAAATAAAAGTAACACACAAAAAGTGACAAAAATTGTTGAGGTATGGTCTGAAGACATGAGGTTTTAAAAGTGAGAGATCAGTAAAATAAGGAACTGGTATATGTGTGTTCAGAACAAATTAGACTGGTTTAACACAATTCCAAAAGCACTGCTATTTAGTCCTGCAGCACTGGGACTTTTCACTGTTTGTATCACTCCACTTACTGTCAGTCTGTGCATCAGTCAGGTGATTTTACAGTGATTCTTTCTGCAGGTGAGTGAGTCATTGAATTATTCACTTAACCGATTTGTTCAAAACATGGAATTATTCAGAAATAAACACCACAACTGTGTGTTGCTCAGAGACACAACTGTCGATTCAGCTTTAACTTTGTTTGACAATAATAAGTGGCAATATTGTGTCTAAAAAACGATTTAAACAACGACCTGTTTATTGAACGGTTGTATTAAAGCACTGGATATTTTCTGTCTGAGATAAGTTTCAAGAATCCGCGAGGAGCATAAGAGCCTTGTTCATGCCAAATGACAGTATGCTAGTGCATGGTGTAGTCACTCATCTAAGTTGCCTTACACTTAGTATCTAATTTATAACTAGCCTTTAACTTACCTGATGTCACTCTAGTAAGCTGGTAAAGCTGTAAGTAAATATAATCAAGATGTACTTGATATTTATTTATTGTCAAGTATGATCTGGGCATGATTACTAGGGAGCCTTGCTATGTCTAAAGGTGCTAATTTCAGACAAAGCTTTACCCGATCCCTCTAATCAAAAAGAGCATTGGACTTTCAATTGTGTTGTTTGATATGTATCAGCACACATGCAAAGACATCTGCAATTACTTACTGGGATTAGACTGCGCCGTGTGCTGCTTCCTCTCAGACTGCGGCTGTACCCGACTGAAAACTGCTTAACAATGTTAAACAGATGTAAAAATATCCAAGAGAGAAGAAAGGAAAAGCTCATGCCTGCATCGCAGCTGCTACAGAATGATGTCTGAATTGAATGAATGAGTCATGCAAAGCTGAAGCTGAGGAAACATGTGACTGTCTTCGGATCGTGATGCCCGTCTCTGGCCTGTGCACACCTGCTGTCAAAATACATACACATTCAAGAGAAGCCACATGGAAAGTCTGAGCTGATCTACCAACGTGATATACTAAGAACTGTGCCTTTCGTATATGCAAAACAGCATGTTCTGTCTTTGGGGATAGTAAGTGCTCCTTGTCTTCAACTATTAATTGTGGAAAACAGGAATTATATCGTCACCAACAGAGCAGGATACACTGAGGTAATTTCCACAACAGAGGTTGATTTACAGGTAATGTGTGAAACAAGCAATGTCAACAGGTAAGTCAATGAGTCCAGAGAATTTCATCAAACTTAGCTTAGATGGTAATAGTCTTTCTATCTTGCAGGTGCAGGATAGTGCAACAGGTAACCATGAAGACAGACGAAGACAAAAGACAGGACAATCCACGGGTAAGAGTTTCTAGTGAGGAGTTAGGTAAATAATCACAGAGTAATGAAAATCTCTGATTTAGATCAAATTGGTGTTGGATGAATGTGGCTATTGTGGTTCACAGTCATAGCGCCACCATCTGGTAGAAGGAAGTGTGACATATACAGATTTTGAAACAGTTTTATATTTGGATTGAAGAAACAAACACATACAAGAGAGGAATAGCTAGGAATAATGGAGGAAAACAGCAAGTGAGGTCAACACCACTCATCTAGCTCAGGAGGATACAAACAATCACCAGCAAAACCTTATACCTGTTCACTTTTAAAAAGTACTAGAGTACAACAAACCTTAAACACAGCAGGCAAGCATCACAAGACAGGACACACAGTCAGATAATAGGAGTGTGGTTTACCTGTGTTTGTGCGAGGTGAAAACCTATTGGCATAGACGGAGCTGCCTCTAAATGCTTTAGACAAATGTAATGGTTAGAATTTAGAGCTTGTGTTACTGACAGAGGATGTGAGGACTACAGACAGTGTCAAAGTAAAACATACCTTGTGTAGGACCCTTTCCTTGGGCGCTCTGGGACTGTCCTACTGCAGTATTTAGAGAAAACAAATATTGAAGCACAAGATATATTCGGTTTCTTTTTCAGCTGTAACAGCAACCTTAAAGTCAACATAAAATCCTGGTCTTACTATGCAGGACTCATCAGTGAATGTTATTCTAAAAAAGTGAAAAAATAAATAAATTAATTAAAATTCTTAAACCTTCATCAAAATATGGTAATATATTCTGCCTTTGAACCAACCTTTGCTCCAACCACTTTACAATTGTCACCTTACAATTTTATTTTCATTGAATATCTTTGTTATACTCAGAAATACATCATAGTGTGGAAGTAAAATGCTGTTTCATGCTGACTTTAAAATGAATTAGACTAAAACAAGGGATTCACAGGCCAACACCATCAAACACCCCAAAAACACAGACGGATGCTACAAAAACAAAGAACCAAAGGAAAACTGCAAAAGACCATTAGTTCTGTAAACCACTAAAAACACACCCAGAGGGCCCTGAATAATATTATATGACAGCAGACAGCAGCCACAAGAACACACATGCCACGTGAGGGAGGCTTCAACATGCCTGCTTGACTTACGTGCAACAGAGCTGAAATACGGGTAACTGCTGCCTAGATCAGACACAAAGAGGTTGCTTTAGAAACAGAGAAAGGAAAGAGGACGGATAGAGAGGGAACCTGATCCATATCGTCCAGACAGGATGCTCATTTCAATAGAATACTGAAAAACTGACCCAAGAACAAATAGATAAAAAGCATGGCATTGATTTTACTATTATAAACTATGATTCTTTCAATTAATTAAGGCATCAGATATATAAAAGACTGTCTCACCTGCCTCGCGGACTTTAATAACAGTGACCCGTGGCGTGGCTGATGTGGTAATGGGTGGGGCTGTGGCGATGGGTGTGGTTGTGGGCAGGGCTGCAGTGGAGCTCGGCTCTGTCGCTGGTGACACTGTGGAGTATGACGGGTCTTTGGGATCATTTTAGGAAAACATGAATGGATGATGAGCTGCTACTGGACAGTGACAATCTGGAAGATTGTGAACATGGATCCACAGATGGGACCTCCTTAGACATACTTTCCACTTTTTGTTTTTAGAAGATCTAAGATTGGAAGTTTGAGCTACACTGGTAGAATCTAACTGCCAGGGATCTTGTTCTCATATTAGCTAGATCTCTTGGTCTACTCAGAATTTCATGCACCATTTGACAAAATAAGTAAATAAATAAATAAAATAATAAACTATTATTTAGCTGCTTTAAAGGCAATGATATTTACTTAAGGAAATGCAAATATTCATTAATTATTTACCAATGGTTCTTTTATTTTAACTCTTTTTTTCATTACACAATATTTACATATCACCCCATGCCACACATACTACATTAACCCTAATTTATGAGCGCAACATTTACATGTATGTATTTGGGAGATGCTTTCATCCTTGTATCCTACTACTTGCTTTTAGCTATTATGCATTCCCTGGGAATTTAACCCATGATCTTGGCATTGCTAGTTTGAGTTAGAGGAAAGGCTTAATGACATAAAAACACTTTTATGAGCATTACTAGCTGGCTAAAACCGATTACCTGTTTTCACTGTGGTGGATCTTGATAGTACAAAGACCAGAGTGGATGCGTAGATTACCCCCTTCTTTGGTTTACCCACTGACACATAAATATAAATCCTATATTTACATCTATTACACCTAAAGTACATCTCATATGAAATTACTGTGTCTTAATATTGTGTTGGCATATTTCTCAATTTTTCAATGCTATACGGAGCCTGTTTGCAAATAGATGTAGTTGTTTTCCAACAGTGTTTGTTCAGGGTAAGGTCTACACTACCTGAGACAGAAAAGGATTCTCTCCAGTTGGGTAAGGACAGAGAGCGGACACCGTTGGCAAAGCTACCCTTGTAGATCGCCTGTCCTGCCATCTTCATCACAATTACCTTTCCTCCAGAGTTAGTGATGGCTCCGCTGACAACAAAATAATAGCAAAAACACCATGCATGTGAGATGTATTTACCTACGAGATCTGTAGTGATTTGGGTAGCTTTAGTAGCTTAGAGTGAATACTGAGTTAAAAATGCTAGAAATAAGTAAGAATGCTATATGCTGTGCATTGGCTGAATCAATTAAGCCGAGATATGTAACTTAAATTTAACTGAGATCCAATGGCAAAAAGGGCTTGATCACGGTGTATGAAATAAGAAAATAATCCAAAGAAAATGCATGCCATCTGCCTAAAAACTGGCTGCATATTGCTGTGTGAAATGTTGGCCAATTCTGACCAAATTATTAGAGGAACAGGAGATCATGGAGAGAGAGAGAGAGAGAGAGAGAGAGAGAGAGAGAGAGAGATCTAGGAAATGATGAGGACCAGATACCCAACAGCCAACATCTCCCACATGTGCACTGACTGATACACCACAGCAATTGATAAACTAACCCAACCTCCCCAGCCAACATTATTTGTTGAGGAGGTGCGCACATTTTGTGCAGATTTCCCTTTCATCCACCCGTGTTATTCTGATCATTTATCAAGTTTTATAGGGTCAGAACTTGACCCTTAAAGCCTTCATCTAAATTATCTTACTCTCTAAAGCCTCTCAGCATGTTGTGATTACATTTAACAATCATGAGGCCAACTCTGAAAAAAAAAAGAGAGAAACGAGAGAAAAGAGAGAGAGAGAGAGAGAGAGAGAGAGAGAGAGAGAGATCTAGGAAATGATGAGGACCAGATACCCAACAGCCAACATCTCCCACATGTGCACTGACTGATACACCACAGCAATTGATAAACTAACCCAACCTCCCCAGCCAACATTATTTGTTGAGGAGGTGCGCACATTTTGTGCAGATTTCCCTTTCATCCACCCGTGTTATTCTGATCATTTATCAAGTTTTATAGGGTCAGAACTTGACCCTTAAAGCCTTCATCTAAATTATCTTACTCTCTAAAGCCTCTCAGCATGTTGTGATTACATTTAACAATCATGAAACAGATGACTGACGATCAGACACTCACAAAGCATGGAAGGCTGTGAAAGATTTCTAAAGACATCTTCTCCCCTCCTGAGGTAGATCCATAGCATCATATACAGGATTCCCATACTCTCTGACCAATGGAATGTTCTGAAAAATCTCTGATAAAGCTGCTTGTTGCACTCCAACAACTACTAGATTTGCAAGAACCTCTGCAGTTTCAAGAGCTGGATTCATGTGGGGTAACAATTTTTGTTTGATGCACATTTTTGCAAATTTGTGCGAAGTTTGTCTCAGTTTCTTTTCAAGTAGTTAACAACTTCTGATTTCATCTAGGGAATTCAAGATTTTTCCTAATACTCATCATACATTAACACCAGGTGAACACTGGGTCTCACAGACTGCAAAATCTTTGAGCTCACCTGTGAATGGCAGCATTGCAGATACTGGATATGGAGGCAAATACACCCGTCCCATACACTTTCTCCTTGGTCTCCCTGCAGTTAGCTGGACACTTAACAATAAACTCTGGGAGACTGATCTTCCCAGCCCGCATATCACATTCTATTGCTGGCACAACTGGAAAAGCAGAGGCAATGTCAGAAGAACAAAATGTAGTGGAAAATGTCTCAAGCATGCATATTACTATCAGCATAATTATCGCAGCTACCTTGTTTTGGCTTTTTGTTCTTGCCATTGGGCTTTGCTCCACTGGAAGTCAGCAGAAATGCTAGGAACATAGATCATACAGAACATAATACAAATGCAAGTTACGACACAACATAATCCTCATGTGGACTATTTGTAAACAACTGAGAGAGGAGTAAACAACTGCTTGAGCAGGTACAAATGCAATAAAAACCTGCATTAATTCACAAGTGAGTGAATGACAAGATCACAGAGCTAATGTACACCCAATACCTAAACTTAACAACTATCTTACTAACTATTAATAAGCAGCAAATTAGAAGTTTATTGAGGCAAAAGTCATAGTTAATGGTTTGTTAATAGCGAAAATTGGACCTTAAATGTGAATCAAAGTGAATAAAACCAACAAAAAACATGTATTTATTTATTTATTTACAAACAAACAAACCTACCTACCTACAAAGACAGCAGTGAGAGCTGGTCTACTCATCTTGAGCTCCACAGCAAGAGTGTAAATCTGGCCAGATGTTCTCTTAAGCCTCTGTATTGCTTCCTGTAATCCAACAGGGGAAAAAAGCATTGATACATTTACAGACACATACAAATATAAAATGTGTTTCTTTGACTCAAATCCATAGAGTATATGTGTAAGCTAAATGATATGCTGTTTTGGGACATGGATGAGAAGTAGAAAAGTAGTAGAATAACACCCTCCACAGTTAGTCCACAAGAGCAGTTTGCATGACTGATTCACATTTTACCATAAACAATGGCAAAAAAAAGCAAGCCTTGTGAGGTCAATGAGACTAGCACATTTACATTTACATTTAGTCATTTAGCAGACGCTTTTATCCAAAGTGACTTACAAATGAGGACAATAAAAGCAGTCAAAACTAACAAAAGAGCAAAAATATATAAGTGCAAATGACAATTCTCAGTTAGCCTAACGCAGTACACGTAGCAAGGTGTATATATTATACACACACACACACAAAGAAAAACAAGTAAATAGAATAGGAAAAAATAGAAAGCTAGTGTTTGTTTGTATTTGGTTGTTTAAAAATTTTGTAAAAATAATAAAAAAGAAGATAATTATAGATAAAGTAGAATTAAAATAGAATAGAAAGTGTTAGAGTTAGAAGGTTAAATAAAGGTGGAACAGATGTGTTTTTAGTTATTTCTTGAAGATGGTTAAGGACTCAGCTGCTCGGACTGATTTGGGCAGGTCATTCCACCAGGAGGGAACAGTTAATGAAAAAGTCAGTGAAAGTGATTTTGTGCCTTGTTTCTGAATGACAGGACCTAGTGATGCCATGTAGACAGAGAAGAGAAGTGGTCCAAGTACTGAGCCCTGAGGCACCCCAGTAGCTAGATGTTGCGACTTGGACACCTCACCTCTCCAAGATTCCTTGAAGGACCTATCTGAGAGGTAAGACTCAAACCAATGGCGTGCGGTTCCTGAGATGCCATTTTCCAATAGGGTTGACCGGAGAATCTGGTGGTTCACCGTATCAAAAGCAGCAGACAGATCCAGCAAAATAAGTATAGAAGATTTGGAAGCCGCTCTTGCCAGTCTTAGGGCTTCAACAACTGAAAGCAAGGCAGTGTAACAAAGCACAATGTTAAGACCATCTTCAACTGGCTTTCTCTAAACCAGTAAACTAGTCTGGTTACAGGAAATACAATGAAAGATATCTCATGAGATCATGCTATTTTAAATTCCCTATTTTAGGCATCCAGATTTTGTGCTCCATTCAAGGTGTATTTTTGTACACTGGTCCTGGATGCAACTGGTTTCTTAATGGCAGCTCTGCCTAAACCCTGGTTTTATGAAGCTCTCTGGATATTTTACAGCTCACAATTGCTCTACACACACTTCCAACCACTTCAGGGAAACAAGTCTAACCCACTGCAAAATGAAAGCTAGCATGGCAGAGTAGTCATTCTCATTACATCATTGCAGGCAGCATCCACATTGTCTCTGAACTCAACCCTGTCTGCAGCCAGGTCCCACTGCCAGAGATCACGGGCCTGATTTACTAAAAGCCATACTATATCCCAAACCATACTCTACTGACAGATATGTGGAAAAAAATGTTGGTACTAAATTTTTTTTAATTTATTTTTTTTGTAATGTAAGTATATAGTAGTTTAAGACACCTAATATAGCTTAGTACAATTCTTATACCTCCTAAACCAGTGGAAATTTACATAATTGATCTTCAATCTTGAATGACTCTCATATCTGTCTTTAATTCATGGATCTCTCCTAATGAGCTGATGATCTGAATCAGGTGTGTTAAATAAGGGAGACATACCAAATTTGCAGAGCGGTGGGTCCCCAGAACCAGGATTGAAAACCACTGGTTTATGTCCTTCTGTTTATTTCCAGCTTTCCGATTCTCTCAGGTTCTGTTAGAACTGTAATTCATCGACATGGATAAAACAATAACCACAGCCCGTTTGCAAAGTGTGTTCAACCTATTGATTGATTGATTGTACAGCTGTCCACTGTACATTGCAGATCCCATCGCGATTGCAATGACCGTTAAATGCGCTACTAGTAGAGACCTAGGTGCTTCTGTTTCTGTTTACCCTGCTCAAAGACCCTGCTTGAATCAGCATGACCAGTTAAGAACTGACACTGATAAGCTAGTATCCTAATATGTACATCAGTATAAATGAGGCTTCACCTGTATATTTCTGTGCTTGAAGCAACCTTTGTAGGAAATCCGCATGGAATGTATCTGGTTGCCATGACAACTTCAGACACACCCTCCCCACTAACTGCACCACTGTCCCCACCACTTTCTGATGCCCAAAGGCCCTTTCTGGGCCCCAAAACAGGCAGAGTCTGTCTCATTAACCGCCACAATGACATACCTCACTGTAAGAGTTGGATTTACAGGTGATTTAGGAACTTGTTGAACTCAAGTTGAACTCATGTTTCATGTTGTGTTTTACCCCCTATAGGAGCTTCACCACATATAGTTTTATTTTTTCTGGCGCTATAATCATTCAGTGTAACGATAACACACGGATTAGGGAGGAATATTGAGATCAATGAGCTTTTACTCTTCTTAAAGCCCAGAATGAGCGACAGTCCAAACCAATGGCCACATGGAGTCCACACATGAAAGAAAAGCTGAGACACATTCAAGCATCATAAAAGAAGTCAGGGCTGTTTTTCATCAAAGGAAACTAAACACTTTATTCATCCATCCATCAGTCCATTCTCCAAACCGCCTGTCCTCTGTAAGGTCACAGGGATGCTGCAGTCTATCCCAGTGTCTCAGGCCGAAGGACAGACGGCCAGTACACATGAAAGGATGGATTTTACCAAAACTGAATTCAAGATTCTTATCCTGTAATAAAATAATAAAACTCACTAATCTGAAGATAGGATCTACGAAAAAAAGCACAGAACAACAGCTGGCCCAATCTCATCTCTTCCCCCCCATGCTGAGTTCCTGACTCCTTACACCCTCTCCTTTCCCACAGGTCTCAGTCAGTCATGCAAATTTCACAAATCTATTGTTTCATTGTTTTTATGTGTGGTCAATATAAATACCTCAGGTGCGACTGGTAAGGTGGTTTCACTCTCGCATCAAGAATAGGCAAGAATAAACAAAACAAAACATCTTCTCATGTGGGAGGTGCCCCAATAAAGATCTTTGATAACCATTTGTTTTCATCCCCAAAACTAGGTGTGTGACCTTTTGGGTTACGAGACCCTAACAAACCAAAAGGTCTTTTAATTCTTTGTTCTGGTCTGGGTATATAAGCAAAGTGGCAAAACATTACTGGGCGATTCTGTTGCCAGAAAGTCCGTAGTATGAAGTGTGTCCACACACTTCACACTATGTATTTTTCTAAAAGTCAGGTATGCATCTTACTCTTAGATTTGTCTTTGAGAATTTGATGTCTTGTATTGATTTGATATCTTTGAATTGACTATGTAATTGGCATAATACATATTTACCTGACTGATAATAAATTGTTATATGTGATTTTTTTGAATGAACTCTCCTGAAATCATTATGACTAGTAAACTGTGAGGAGGCTTTTGTTACCGCAAATCTATGGCCAGGATAGGTCAAACTGAAGGCTTGTGAATGACAGGAGCAGTAGGCACGTCCTCAGAGACCTTCTGATTTCTGTCTATCGCCGATGTTAGCAAGTTGTACGGGAAAGGACTAAGTGAATTACACTTTTTGTCATAAGCAAGCAGTAGGCGGCAGGCAAAATAGGTATTAGTCTACCTACACCCTCTGACTAGCATCAGACTGGCGAGTTTGTGACCGTAAGATCCACGTAAGGCCAGCGTGAGACTTAAAAGAGACATTAGGTCCCCAGTGAACGGATAAGTGAAAGTATAGTGAGTCAGGAATAATCGAATATCTAAATTAATATTTGTGATCATTAAAGTTAGGCAATATTTCTAATTAAAAACTGATCACGTGAAATTGGAGTCAGATTGAACGCGGAGCTAGACAAAATTGAAACTAAGTCCTGATAAATTCAGAAGCGCAAGTTTTGTTACCGCAAATCTATGGCCAGGATAGGTCAAACTGAAGGCTTGTGAATGACAGGAGCAGTAGGCACGTCCTCAGAGACCTTCTGATTTCTGTCTATCGCCGATGTTAGCAAGGTGTAAGGGAAAGGACTAAGTGAATTACACTTTTTGTCATAAGCAAGCAGTAGGCGACAGGCAAAATAGGTATTAGTCTACCTACACCCTCTGACTAGCATCAGACTGGCGAGTTTGTGATTGTAAGGCCAGCGTGAGACTTAAGAGACATTTGGTCCCCAGTGAACGGATAATCGAATGTATTGAGTCCGGAATAATCAAATATCTAAATTAATAAACAATCAATATTTGTGATCATTAAGTTTAGGCAATATTTCTAATTAAAAACTGATCACTTGAAATTGGAGTCAGATTGAACACGGAGCTAGACAAACTGCATGTAATTGCATCTGTAATAAATTTTTGTAATTACATCTATAATTACACTGTTGACTGTCCATAAACCTGTCCCTAAACTTAACCGTATCATACCTCAAAAGTAGAACAAGCAGCTAATAAATTAGTCAAGAAAACCAAAGAATTTCTGTCAGGGCCACTATCGTCAAATATGATTGACAATTAGCATACAGTTTGGATTGGCGGTATGGTTCCGTTCTGGGCACTGGGCACGTTCATGGATAAAATAACTCATCAACATGAAAGCTTGTGTTGCTGAATTCCACCACCCAAATTAATACAAAAAAAGGTAAAATGGTTTCTGAATCATAAGACTGAACACAGCTAATTTTCAGATCAGTGGCAGCCGGTACCTTGAGCTGAAAAATTTCCTGAACAATAATGTGTTGGTCTAATAAACAGTCTAATATCCCATAATCCTCATTTAATTGATTTTCTTTCAAGTTAACTCATTCAGCTAAGTGCTACTGCAGAAAATGCAGTACCACACAAATATAAAGAACACTGAACCTGAAGGCTCAACTGAAGTTAATTTAAAGTACTGTGTACTAACATCTAAATGAATC